CGAATGAGCCCAACTCTCGTAGGGTTTAGGGTTTAGGGGTGGATGAACTGCTACCTCTTGCTGCTCGAGCTCTGCTGTTGTGAGGCCTTCTATAAGAGCAGCGGTGGCACTGGTGCCTTGGTGAGTTGCATTGGCTTCAGGGGCAAGTTATCCTTTCCACCGTGCTTGCATGACATGCCTTGCATGCTTCGAATTTTGACAAGCTTGCACCTTTGGGTACTGATGTTGTCGAGTTCTGCTCATATAGGGGCCTCAAGAATTACCTATATTGTTTTTGGGGGTCCTTCTGAGAATAATATTTTGCAGGACCCCCAGACCCTATTCTAATTATTAAGGCCCCTACATTATATTTTGGCAAGTTTCCGCAGCACTGCAGCCGACTTCAACGCCAGTGCTCCTGGTCTGGAAAGCTTTGATGGTGTTTTTGTGCACTCTGCAGCTTGCTATTCCGACTTTCCACACCAGACCAACACTGTGTTAGCCCATGAAGTCGCACCTCACTTTACGGTGTTGATTCCCGAAACTGGAAGCCTAACACAAACTACTAATAAGACGGAAGACTAAAGAAGTACTAATTCCGTTCCTGAGTGTTCCGACTGCATTTTGTGTATTACACCCCCCAAACCCCATTCTGATGACACAGACCCGTATATCCTAGAATCCATATGGTTTTAGGTTCAGACTCCTCTGGCTCCTTGCTATAACTCTGCTGCACTATGCAGCAAAACCCTGTAAACAGTATGAATGCCTGTTACAAACTAGACCCGATAAACTCGAACAGCAGTTTGAGACTGTCCTAGGGTAACGCCGCTGTTTCACTTGTTTGCCTCGACTTCGTCAAGCTGCGGTTTAGGTAGGCGGGTAGGGTTTGCGGTTTAGGGTCGTTTGCAAGGGGGCAAGTTCACGTCTTCGGGCATCACGGTTGGCGAGTGCAAGCTCTTCTCGACTTTGCATGCGATGAAGCTTGCCAAGGCAGGATCCTAAACCTCACATGGGTAGTTCTCTAAATTAGGGTCCCTTTTAGGGTCCTTTTTTTTATGGGTGCCGTACTATATTGGGGACCTAAGAAGGGACCCTAATTTAGAGAACTACCCAAATCCTCAACCCTAAACCCTTGTTCTTTGGTTCTTTGAGCCTCGGGCCGCAGATGGCTTTGTTTCGCAAGCTTTCACCTGTGCCGACGCACGCGAGTGTAATTGACTCTATACAGTCTGCACAAAATACAGCTAGTAGCATTGGCTGTAATCGCAAGTACAACCGTGCAATGGCGCATTGGGTTTTAGCTTTGATGAGTACTCGCAGCACGAGATAGGACTACTACTTGCAGCAAGCAGTGTCAGATCATAAACCTCGTTTCATGATGCCAAGCATTGGCAAACATAAAACCAAGACCACAACCGCTGACGATAGCGAGCACGACGAACGCACTCATAGTCATGGCCAGAATTCCAGCCATGCCACAAGAATTGGAACAAGTCACAAGAGGCAGCAGCAGTTTAGGGCCTAGGGGGCGCCACCACAACGAGAAGGACGACAACGGATTGTGGAATTTAGGGAATTCAGGGGCCTAAATAATTACCTATACTCCTTTGGGGGATTCCTTGTTGTGATTAGACTATAAAGGGCCCCAAAACCCTATTCTAAGTATTAAGGCCCCTACATTACTCACTTTTGCAGCACTTCGAAGACTGGTAGCACCGGGTCGAGCCGGAATCGCACAAGTCGGCATTAACGTCAGCATCATGGTCATCCTCATCTTGACCCGCCACTAATATTAAGGGGCCTGAATGATTAGAATAGGGTTCGGGGGGGGGGGGGTCCTTATTACAACTAGAGTGTAAGATACCCCAAACCCTATTCTAATTATTAAGGCCCCTAGATTATCATCTTAGCTATCTTCGTCCACATCGTTTATGTTACGAAGCAAACAACGAGGCCTTACCAGTTTATTGCTGTGGACCATGCTTGTAACATTGTAACGCCCACACGGCTAGAAGGACGACATCCTCGCAGACTATGCTGAGCCGCCCGGAGAAATCGCCAGTCATGTGCCTCCCATGTCTTGCTAAGCCGTGAATGGCACGGTTGTGCATCGGTTCCTGCAGAAGGGAGGGTTTGAGCGGCATGGGTAATATAGGGGCTTAAACAAAGACCTATACTATTTTGGGGGGTTCCTTATTACAATTATAGCAGAATAAGGGGCCCTAAAACCCAATTCTAATTCTTAAGGCCCCTACATTACTTCCAATGCTTGCGACCCTGGTGAGTGGTTGTGCAAATGGCAAAGTTGATTCTCCGCTGGGTGTCGGTGAATTGTCGGTGACCCCCAAGCCCTGAACCCCGAACCTGATCCGAGGATTTCTGGCTTTTACGATCGCTTTGCTGCAGAGGCCGCGACACAGGCGATTCTAAAGGGCGAAGGAAGCTTGGCTGAGACGTCTAGCACCTGGTGCTGCCTCAGGAGTGGGCTTCGAGGAATTGAGCTTTGTTGTTGGGCACTCTGTGCCCTAAACCCTAAACCCTAAACCCAAAACCCTAAACCCTAAACCCTAAACCCTAAACCCTAAACCCTAAACCCGAAACCCAAACCCTAAACCCTAAACCCTAAACGATGTTCGAGCATCGAAACCACATCAGCCAAACCTGCGGTCGTCGTTGATTTGGGCACCTCGACCCGAACCTGTGGAAAGCCGCTGAGGTAACATGCCGGGCACCTTCAACCAGTACTTCAAGTTCTGAGCGGATGAAGGGCAATGTGAGCTCAGTAGAATCGTAGCGGCACTTCCCCAAGCATGAGTTGCATGGGCGATGTGCCTTCGCCTTGGAAGCGAGAAAGACTTTATTGGTTAAGATAGGCAAAAGCAGAAAACAGCTCTCGTTGCAGGGTTCTTCTTCGCATCCTTGAGGTTCTTCTTTGAATCTTTGCGTATGATAATGTAAGGGCCGGAAGAATCACCTATATTAATTTGGGGGGGTTGCTTTTTATAACTATAGCATAATATACCCCAAAACCCTATTCTAATTACTAAGGCCCCTACATTAGACCCCCAGGCCCTTTTTGAGTTGACGTGGGGCTCCCCTGCCATGCAGACCGTAGACTGAAAACAACCCCTGAGGGTCCATGTACCCAAGTAGTATATACATTGGCCCCAACCTACTCGATATAGGGACTACTTTAAGGCCAAAGTATATCTATTTGGGTACATGGACCCTCAGGGAACCGTACCAGCCCAGAGCCTGAGACCTCAGCGCCCAAACGCCCCAACGGGGTTTGGGGGTTCAGGCTTTGTCCCTGAACCCTGTTATAGGAGGGGTACCCGCATCTGAAATCCGCCGCAGGTGCTGCCACCATTCCCACATAGCCTGTGAGCACGAGCCCGGCAAGCCGTTCTCTGGCTGAAGGATCTGTATTTTGGAGTTTCATCGGGACTTGATGGGACTTTATGGCACTTCCACTCGTCATTGAACTGGATGCTTTGCATCTTAAAGGGCCAGTGTGCTTCATGGTGTTTGAGTTTAGGGTTTAGGGTTTAGGGTTTAGGGGTTTAGGGGTTTAGGGTTTAGAGGATCACCGTATTTTTCGGACTGCAGGGAGAAGTCTGGTGGTCGTAGGCTTTGTGGCGCAGCACTACTATCCACTGAATGCTTCATGGTTTAGGGTTTAGGGTTCCTTTAAGGGTTCCTTTAAAGGGATCTATAAGGGTTCTATAGGGTTTAGGGCTTTAAGGGTCCATGTACCCAAGTAGTATATACATTGGCCCCAAAGTACTTATATAGGGACTACTTTAAGGCCAAAGTATATCTATTTGGGTACATGGACCCCTGGGGTATCCACTGAATGCTTCATGGCAAGACGTAGCAGTGGCGACGGAACAACCATTGCGGAGTGGATACAGCGGCAATGTTCAGAGCAACAGAACACGTGACTACAGAGCATGTTGTTTATGTCTGTGGGTCTCGCAGTTATAGAGCAATGTACTGACGGAACAGGTCATAATGCTGGTCATAATATTATGAACTGCGGAAATGCATTTCCGGAAGGGTACAAGGAGTCCTTCATTTTGCATCCAGGGTTCCAAAAAATATGGAGTAGCTTCTTGATTCCTCAGGGTATGCTGCTATGGCAGCAATGATTGCAGGCTTGATCACACTACGAAGGCCGGCCTCAATTAATAGACCGTGACAGCCTTCAGAAGCATTCAGCAGCTGCTCACGGTTTTTCGAGCCTAGTGTCTTTGGATTCTTTGGCCGTGGGGAACAGGCAGTCTTTTCTTGCCCTAACCTCCCAGGTACCTACTATATAGCCCCCAGTGCCCTACTTAGTAGGTACCTGGGGGGTTAGGGTTAAGCCTCACAGAGAGCTATACGGGAGTTTCCGAAAATTAGGGTACCTTATTTTGGGGTCCTTATAATAGGGATCCTATTATTTAGGGTACTATATTAGGGTCCCCTATTTTCGGAAACCCCCATACAGTAGTGCGATCAGATACTTTGGAGTCGGAGGACCCTAAACCCTAAACCCTAAACCCTAAACCCTAAACTCTAAACCCTAGACCCTAAACCCTAAACCCTAAACTCTAAACTGTAGGTTCAGCGGAAACAACGACCTCTTCCGGGAGCTCAGGAGTCACAGGGTGTTTGGGATTTTGGGGGTTTAGGGTTTTGGGTTTTGGGGTTTAGGGTTTTTGGGGTTTGGGGTTTAGGGCTTTTGGGTTTAGGGCTTTAGGGTTTAGGGTTTAGGGCTTTTGGGTTTAGGGCTTACGGGTTTAGGGGTTTAGGGTTT